TAGGGATGTCAAAATACCTCTATCCGACCTGTCATGCGGTATTTTGCCTCAATGGGGAGGGGATTCTCAGAGAGTTGGGGAACTGGGTGGGGCCGGGGCCACCTCGGGGCAAATATCCTTGATCAGGACGAGGAACATGGCCCTGTTATTAACCCATTACAATTTTTTTAGTTATAGACAAATTTTAATATAATACTTAAAATTATATAAATATAAAAAAATGTTGTATTTATTAATGTATTTTTATTAAATTTAGCTCATGTTCAGTATTGATTAAAAATAATATTTTTAGTAGATTTTGATAAAAGTTGATAAAACGTGTGATTGAAAGTTGTGGGACCATGAAACATGTGATTAAAATTGATTGATGACTTTGACGTAGATTAAAATCTGAATTTTAATCATTACCAAACAAGGGCTTCGTTTATAATACTTTTGGGCTATTACAATTTAAGACCACTTCAGGGTCCACTCACTTTTAACTCGCTTATTTATTTTTAAGTTGATCAATCACGCCATTTTATAGAGCACTTCCATAAAGAATTTGATGTGTAATCCCTCCTTCATGCATGTATTGTTTAATTGCTAGTGTTGTGGGCTTTGTCAATGGATTTAGTCCTACATCGAAAGACTAAGGATGGCAAAAAACCCAATTGGCCCGATTCGGGTAGGGACTTGCCCCCATTTGGGTCGGAGCGGGCCAGGGACAGGTAACATGGTTACTCCCTCGGTAGGTGTATCTTTAATTTACTTAAATTTTTTATAATATAATACAATTATATAAATACAAAAACATATTAATGAGCTAAAATAAGAAAAAACCATAAATCCCATTTATTGTGGTTTTCCTTTAGTCATACGGGGGGGAAGTATTGGGCTTCTTTCTGCAATGTTGCCAAATTCGTTCGAACATATTCCCATTTCCACTGGATACTCGTCGCTCGATTCTGCCAAGGACTTTCCTCGCTGTCTGAATTCTCTAGAGGGGGACGAAAACGAGGTAAACTCAATGTTTCGTTCCAGATGTTAATGCCGAAGATTACAATGGATTTGTATGAGATCTGCTGAAGAAGTGATTTATAAAAGGGCTTGGTGAACCAACTCTTGGTTAAATAATGAACTTTGCAATAGGCCATGAAGTGGATTTATGTGCTTTGGCGTAGAGGTGTCAATCCGGGTGGTCCGGGCCGGGTTGGCCCGCCAACATGTGAG